TGGCCTTGGGGCGGCAGGGAGAGTAAATGACAGTCAGAAGAGAGCATTAACAGTATTTTGTCACATAAAATGTATACAACAGTAAAATCGAATGAGACCAAAACTAATTTTGGATTCTTTGCATTCCCAGGATCTTGCCATAAGGATTGCAAGATTATTGTCACCTCTTCTAGGTGCAACCGGTAAAAGGGGGGTGTATGGTAAAGCTGGCCACACACCAGTTGATTTTTTTTGTTCAGCGTGCATGCTGAACAGAAAACATCTAAAAGATTCCTCTTTCCATGCTAAACAGTATGGATGGGAGATTCCATTACCCCCTTCTTTTCTTTGCCATAGGCTATTGTAGTCTTACAGTGGCTGGTGTGAAGCTGTCAGAATACCTAAACAGTGACTGCAGCTGATTGTCTGAAGTCACCGTTTGGCTGAAATTTTTCAGACTGGCTCCTTCAACAAAAGCCGATTAAAAATCGCCAGCCAGACATATTCTGATTGGCTTTATTACAGTTGTCACTTTTATTTGTCAGAGGATATGTACAGTAAATCTGTTTAGCCAGACTTGTCAGTCATGCACTTCTGTAACATTGTAGAGTGACCACTATTTCCTGGTTCAGCTTTACAGTTTCCTCTGTCACCTGTCTGCTCATGGGCAGTGGATAAGCAGCATGATGATGCAAATTTATTGTTCAGTGGTCAGGCAGGAGGTCGACACATGACACAGTAAGCTGCAAAGTTTAACTTGTAGACAGTAGAGTCATTTTTCTGTCTGTGCCAAAGACTATGGCAAAGCTCTATGACTCATAAGGCTGGCTGAACAGAATCCCTTGGCAGCTAAAACGGTTCGAATATATACAATGATCAGCCATAACATTATGACCAGTAAGGCCCCGTTCACATTGAACGATTTATCGCGCAGTAATTCCTGCGATATTGCGGCTATTTACCGCGCGATATCGCTCTCCAATGCTTGGCAATGGGGCAAAGGGTCCTGCTGTCGCGGGTCGTGCGTCGCTACAGCAGGACCCTTTTTGCAGCGGATTTTGCCGCGATTCAATGCAAGCATTTGCACGATATCGCGCGGCAAATCGCGCGATATCGCGAAAAATGCAAATCGCGCGACAAATGCGCGATTTGTGAATCGCCAAGTGTGAATGGGGCCTAAGAGGTGAAGTGAATAACATTGATTATCTCATTACAATGGCACTTGGAAGTAGGTGGGGTATACAGTATTAGGCAACAAGTGAGCATTTTGTCCCTGGAGTTGATGTGTTGGAAGCAGAAAAAGTGGGCAAGTGTACGGGTTTGAGCGACTTTGACAAGGGCCAAATTGTGATGGCTAGATGACTGAGTCAGAGCAACTCCGAAACTGCAGTTCCTGTGGGATGTTCCCAGTCTGCAGTGGTCAGAACCTACCAAAAGTGGTCCAAAAAAGGTAAACCGGTGAATCAGCGACAGGGTCATGTGCGGCCAAGGCTCACTTATACATGTAGGGAGTGAAGGCTGACCTGTGTAGTCTGATCCAATAGAAGACCTACGATAGATCAAATTAGTGTAAAGGTTAATCCTGGTTCTGACAGAGAGGTGTCTGAACACACAGTGCACCGCAGTTTGTTGCGTATGGGGCTACATAGCCGTAGACTGCCCATGCCGACCCATGTCTGCCACCAAAAGCATCTACAATTTACACGTGAGCATCAGAACTGGACCACAGAGTAATGGGAGAAGGTGGCCTGGTCTGATGAATCACATTTTCTTTTACATCATGTGGATGGCCAGGCGTGCGTGTCGTTTACCTGGGGACCAAGATGGCAGGCCAATAGATGGCACCAGGATGTACTACGGGAAGAAGATAAGCCGGCAGAGGCAGTGTGGGCAATGTTCTGTTGGGAAACCTTGGGTCCTGACATTCATGTGGATGTTACTTTACTTAAATATTTTTCCAATATTCTAATTTCTTAGTATAAAAAGTGTCAAAAACAAAACTGTCAACAACAAGGACTAACTATAGCCAATACTATTTTTTTCACATTCGTTGCAGTGGGGGGCAACTAATATGTAATCCAGACAATGTGTGTGTTACTTCCACCCCCTTTACTACATCCTGTTTAATGACGGTAAAGGACAGGGAAGTACAGATCCGGGGAAGTTTCTATTGCATAAAGTGTCAAGGTTATTTCAATGTTTCGACCTAATTTGTTGTGGTGCGATGTGTAATCATAACACACATATAGTGGTATTGTGCCACAGTAAGGTGTTGGAGCTGATAAAATTGATATCTATGATATAACTTTTGTCTCTTGAAAGGACAATACAGGTAGCTTTGTGGCAACCCTGATGACCATCATCACACAACAATTCCTCCCATCTGCTACATGAAAGGTTATGTAAGGAGGTGAGGGGAAGGGTGTAGTAGCTGGGCCAGCAGAGACAGTAATTAAACACTCCCAGAAGAGGTAAGGATTATGATGTACAGAAGAAGGGGGCTGTGCTACTCCAGATGCTCATGGAGTAGTCAAATTTTCTAGCAAGTTTAGAGACACATTTCAAGTGAATAAAAATAATATATGGAGTACCTGCAAGTAAGCATTTAAAAATGTCTTGTGCTTTTATCTGCAGTTTGGTGACAGGGTCTCTTTAAAAGTTAGCTTGCTTTTAGTGATACAGCTTTCTAACTCTGTATTCTAGCCATTTTGTGACAAAGAAGAGCTGAAAAAGACAAGCAGCTCCTGTGAGAATTCAGAAAGTACTACTGACAAAATTTCCTCACTATCAGAAACAGCAATTCCGTGGATGGACACAGCTGGGAACCCAGAGGAGCAACCAACAGTTGTGACACATCCAAAGGTACAGAGGAAAGCTTAAGTTGGCTGGTACACTGGTAGATATTTGTGCGAATGTTCATACCAAAAATCTGGCCAGAACATTTGATAACGCCCTCTTGACGAATGTCATTTGAAATTTCGTTTGATTATAACATTTCATTTTGAATGGAGTTCCCTGAATAAAAACCACATTCGCTGTTAGAATTTCATGTATTCAAATTAACTTAACTTAAAAAATAAAATGGTGACAGGGTCTCTTTAAAGAGGTACTCAAGGATTTTGAGACTCTAATTTTTATAAATATGAAAGATTGCAGAGAACAGTATGACAGAAAACACAGTTTGGTCCAAAGTTCTGACTTTATTGTGGCGCATAAGAAAGAGGAGGGAAGGAGTAGAATGATATGTAGAGTTAATACATGGGATAATATAGAGATAAACTGTCACAGAAGGCCGAGCAGTGCTGGAGAGGACACACCAATGCTTGCTGTCATTGGTGTGTCAAATGAGGCTGAGCTCTCCTCCCACACCGCACAACTCAGCCTTCTGTGATAGATCAGGAGAGCAGTGTGGGGGCGGAGTCAGCTGTCACAGGAGGGCCCGTCTTGGTGTGGGAGTTAGCTGTCACAGGAGGCCAGTCTTGGTGTGGTGTGGGGGAGGAGTCGCTGTCAAAATAGACTGAGCTCCCCCGCACCGCTGGCTTACCCTCCTGTGACAGCTGATCCATAATAGGGGATGTAGAAAAAGAGATTGAGGAACTCTGTGTCCACAATCTCTTTTTCTATTTTAAAAGGGAAATATCATGGGTCTCCTTAGACCCCTGATATCTCACCGAAGCCCCCAACAGTGGTAGCACTGACTGGGAGGAAGTTATGTATAGGCGCACAGAGCCCCTTTAAAACAAGAATAATTGTGAGATCGGCAGTTCATCCGAATCACTATATACCCGAATATACAACTTACTATATATTCGGGCATATAGTAATTCGTTGTATGGGCGGTATGGCAGCACCAAATGTTTCTATGCACACATGCGTGCATATAGACGCGCTGGCGGTCAATATGACTGCTGCACTTTTTTTTCTTCAATGTGCAGTTTCGGATTCAGAGGCTCGCTGCCTTCGAATCCAAAACGGCATAATAATGTTGTCCAAAACTTTATGCTGTACACATCTATTATATTGTCATAAAACTTTTGTTATCTTACATTTTCATGAATAGGGAATATTAAAACCGCCCCATTTTTGTCATCCCAATATCCCGTATTCGGCTCAAGGAAATATGGTCAGCCTAATCATAGTGGATTTCTTTTTCATAACCCTTGCAGTGGGGGACTACCCCTGCACTGTAAGTGTTAACCACTCATTTAGGTCTAGGGGCGCAAATAAAGAAAATATCCAGACAGATTCACGGTTTTACATCATTTATTGGCAGATATGCCATTCACGATTTGTGATAATTCCTAGGAATGTCTTTTTTCACTATCATGATGACACAAGAACGATAAGGAAAAAACATTTTTACACTGTGATTTTTTTTTTTACACTGTGGCTATTTAATTAGAGATTTATCACCATCACTGTATTAAGGTTTGTAATATATATACACGGAGTACTACTTATATTGTGATAATTACATATGTTTAGATAGGGATATTTATTTAATTTTACTTTATTTATTTTTCACTTTTAGCGCTGCACAAATTACACTTTAAAGAAAATATACTCACCACTGCAGGATCAAGAATCAGTTGAGTATATCTTCTTTATTCCGTTCCTTAGACCAAAATGAGCAGTTATCCTTGCACTGTGAGGGGTAGCCCCGCTGCACGGGTTAACTTTTGAAAATCCTGGAGATCTGCTTTAAGGACAACTCCAGAGAAAGTTGGCAATGGTAGCTCAGGGTCAGCTAGACAGGGTGCTTTAGTTCTGGCAGGCACCACAAGTACTGTCTTACATTTCAGGTGTTTGTGCTGTTATTTAATTGTGTTAAATCATCGTCCGGTTGTAAGGTCCATATGGAGACGGACTGTCTAAGTTTAGGGCTGATAAGAGAATAACTCTCCAGGCTCCACGAGGAAGCTAAAACTGACAGTTGGCAAAGCCTTTTTTTTTGTCTAGGGCTTAAAATAATGAAATTATACTCACCTGAAGCTCCGGCTGTCACAGTGCTCCCCACTGCCTCTCTCCTTCTACGCTGCAGCATTGAAATCTTTCCCATTGTCCTCACGCTTTGCATAGACGTGATGATTTACAGGACCTTAGATGGCTGCAGTGCAGGAAGAGAGACTAGGGAAGGAGCCAGCTCTGCGGTTCAGGAGAGTATTACCTCTTCCCTTTTTTTTTTTTTAACCTAGACAATAAAGAGCAGTTAACTGTGATGACTCACAGATCCTTAGACCCCTGGCTTGGAGGGGGAGCGAGGTTGCAGGTACTGGTGTGGCAGCCAGGCGGCTCTGAGGATCGGGTGAGTTTTTTGGGGTTTTTTTACCCCCTAGACCAAAACAAACGACTGCAAGTAGCCCCACTGCAAGGGTTAAGAAAAACTTTTCCTGGACTTCTTCTTTAAGCTAGCCATACGTGTATATATTTCCTCTCATCCAGCCCATGGGCTGAAAGAGAGAAAATTACTTGATTACCTGATCCATGCTAAAGAGCGTGGATGGAGGAATCTTCAGTGGTGGCTATTGCATTCAAACAGTAAAAAAAAAAAAATTCCACCCAGCTCCTTTGATTTTTAAACCTTTCAACTGTTGGTGTTGACAGGGCCACCCACTTCTGCTGTAAGAAGAGACATTACAAATAACTGATCAATAATCAAATTATCTATGAGAGCTAAAGCTGCAGGAATGCAATAATTCAGGGGTTGATATTCAGACATAACAAAAACATTCTGGCAGTCTGGTATGACCATTGTGTATTTACACAGTGGAGTCCTAGAACGGTGCCATTGCTCTGTCAATTAAGAGTGCTCCAGAGAAAGTCAGTGCTGTCACCCACTACAAATGCTACCAGTTCTTTGTTGATCAGCTTTAGAGAGAGACAGTCATTGTTCTCCTCATAATTGTCTGTCGACTACCTCATCTATCTAGCTCTTCAAGACGGGAAAATCTATAAAAGTGATTACTATATTGGGTTTTTTTTTTCTCTGCCAAGTAGATAACCAAGATGAAGAACTGTGTAGTGCATGGCTGCAGTAATACCCATTTCAAAGGATGCAAGAAGCAGTTTTTCAGGTAATGGATGTAGGGTTTTGTACTGCAATGTTCTAAACTCTGGAAAAGCAACCCGTTGTCCGGTTCTAGTTAAAGGGAACCTGTACAGAGAGAAATACATGGGCTGCCATTGCTGATTTCCTTCTTGCTTGGCTGTCTCTAGGTTCAGGACTTTGAATCACTTCCCTAGAAGAAGCTTGAGTATTGGAAAGTTGGAGTTAAAGCAGACTTCTACTTAAAATGTAATGTCTGGCCCTCTAACGGGGATGAATTAACACACTTTTAAGATGGTAAAGCAATCAATTCACATATGTACCTTTTAGCTTTCAGTGTACTTCCCAATTAGAAGTAGCAAAGCAATTTCTCTCATGTAACTGGGCCTAGGCACCCTCTGTTCTTGCTTCACAGGAGACTATCATGGGTATGACAAGCATACCATGCCCACTTCTGCTTCTAATTAGTGGATTACATTGATGGTGTCATTAAGGTGCGGGGTCTAGTAACACAAAGAACTCTATGGCAATTGCTTATACCTCTACTAAAGTGGTGGCCACACAGTGCTGTATAAAGGACAATGGAATGGGCCAAGGCAAAAGATCAGCTAGAGAATGCCTACTGTAAGTGCTGTATCATCCACAACTGCCTTTTCTAACACTGACTGAAGGATGAGAATGCTTTAAGTCAGAATTCCCAGTTTCCAGACATTTTTCAGGTAAGTATTAAAGCTGGTGGATCTGTAAGACAACCAGACAACTGGCATTTTAAAAGTAGTGCTCAACAATGGCAGCCACCATATTTTCTCATTACCAGTTTTTATTAAGTTTTTTTTTTTTTTTTTTTTTTTATTAACAGAAAGAAAAGCCATTGCAAACATCAGCATACAAAACATTGTCCATGTTTGCAAGCCAATAGATCTATATACAAATGTTTGTGACTTCTTTTAAGGAGTGCCTGCAGAATAGCCACTGCCAGTGTGTAACATGCTTTGACAGGGTATCTCTGTGTGTCATATATACAGTATTCTAATTAGTGCAACCAAATGAGATTTTACTTCATTCTGCAGCCATACAGGGCAATATAATTGTTTTAAGTTGCTCTCCAAGTAAGCAAATCCTTTGTACCAGAGCATCTGAAATGAAAAGTGAGCTGTCCACAGCAACCAGTTTTTTTTTCCCCTTTGTTCGAATACCAGATTATAAAAAAAATTAAACAAAAACCTGAAAAGATTTATAAAAATATTACCTGTAATCTGTGTGCAGGTTTCCACTAAATGATCCAGAACGTCTGTCAATGTGGATTGTAGCAGTTCAACGTAAATATTGGAAACCGTCCACATCCAGCACGATCTGCAGTGATCATTTTACTGACAAAGACTACATGTTATATCCAGAAGCAACAGACCCTCAGCTACGACATGATGCAGTGCCTTCTATCTTCATTAAAAATCCTAAATGGAAAAACATACCTAGTGATGGAACAGAAGTCCACAACAAAGATCAGGTAAGATGTAAAGTCTGAATTATTGTGATTGTGACCATATCAGATCAGTGTACAATGGCAGGAATTAGAGCAGGAGTATTATTTTTTAGACCTTCAATGACAAGGAGTCAAGCAGTATTTAATAAGACTTCCTCCCAAAGTTATTCATCTTATCTTGGTGGAACATGGTTCCATGTGTAAAATGCTTGTGAAGAGCATTGTCACATTCTTTTAACAACTGCCTGTCTTTGCTGCACATGTCACTCCTCTCCATCTAGTTTTAAGGTTTCTTAAAATGAGTATAAGGAAAGCTGTCAAGAGAGAAACATGAAAATGCCATTGCTTCTCTCTCATTTTGAGAATGCTGGTAGTCTCGCTGTACATACAGGGGCGGAACTGCAGCCGGTGCGGCTGCACTAGTGTCCGCGCCAGGGGGGAGCCCAATACATATGCATGTATTTGAGGGCCCGTTCACACTAGCCCATCGGGGGGACAAGCTAGTGTGTTCTGACAGCTCCAGTGGGTGAGTGATGTGATGCGCTGACTCAGCACTTCAAACTGTTTGTTTGTTTTTTTCTTTACTTTATTTAGAGTGTACAAAGTGTACACTCCATTGAAGTCCAGTGGTCTACTGCATTGAGGGGCACACCACACCGAATGACACACCTGCCTTGTGGTGTGAACGGGGCACATGGAAAACAGTTGAACCCTAGCGGTGACTGGCGTTGTTTCTTTTGTGAACGGGCCCTGAAAGACACATTTATATAATAAGAGGATCCAGATTTGTGGACCTTCACCTTATTGAACATTGGCAACAGGGGGCTGGTTACTTCTGCCTATGGGGAAATCATTAATAGCATCCCATGGTAACAAATTCATATTTTCAGTAATAGGATTGAGTAAACAAAGAACATGGACCTAATGGTTCTGTTTTTTCCTTTTCCTTGAAAAACAGCAGTGGCATCTGACAGGTAATGCTTTTTTTTTGTCGGTTGTGACTGTTGTGTTCAGGTAGATCTGTTCAGATGTTATATAGGTTGTATACAGTGACTATTTTCAGAACTAATGGTACTCAAGTTTTTCTATCATTGCTGAAGGGACAACGGTGGCCCAGGGTAGCAAATGCTTCCTAGCTCCTTTTTGCAGCTTTATTGCAAAATCACATACATCTCCCTTTCTACAATGTTACATACAAAACAAAAGCATGTAAATGATGCCTAGGTTCGGTATGAGGAAGTTTTTGAACCTTTTGGCATAGAGTTATAAACATGTTGTGCAGCTCTTATAAGGACAGTGTATTTGGCTTATCTTGGTTGGTGAAGAATCTCTCACTACAACAATGAAGCTGTGTTTACTTAATACATACGATATTTAATATTGATGAATTGCAACCATGTTTCTACATCTTTAGGTTAACCTTGACCCTGTGGAGAAAAGCCTGCCTCCAACCTGTGTAGTGTATGGCTGCAATAACACCTTTGTGAAAGGATGCAGGAAGCAATTTTTCAGGTAAAGATTGTGATTCCTATATTAACATTTACCTACATACAACTGGAGCATGATGTGCATGATTAATTGCTACTACGTTCTTCTTGTGTAGCTTAACACTTCAGCTCTTGTACCTGTATGGACTAGAGACATTTTTACATTTCAACTATTAGCCTGTTTACTTGGATATAATGTTAACAATATTTAAAGAAGAACTCCGGGCAGAATAAAACTTAACCCTTGCAGTGTTGCTACCCCAGCACTGCAATGGTTAACTTCTTGTTTTGCTCTAGGATGTAAAATAAAAAAAGATATACTCACCTGATCCTCAGACTCCTGTAGGCACTAGACCTGTCGCCAGTGGTCTAAGTATCTGTGAGTCATTACGTCTAATACAGTGCATTAGATGTAAGGATTCTGAGGGACATACCGTTGCCAAAGAGGAGAGGTAGAGAGCCTGTGTGGACCGGTCTAGCAGCCAAGAGGGACTGAGGTTTGGTGAGTTTTATTTTACACCCTGGACCAAAACGAGCCCTTATCCCCGTGCAGGAGTAGCCCTTCCAGAGTTTTATTCCCCTCCAGAGTTCTTCTTTAAGATAAAGGAATACATACTGTACATGTGTTTTATGGACAAACTAGGCTTTTGTTTGGCAATATTATCTTGCAAAAATTATTTAATTTTCTAATGTAATCTATAGACCATGAGGAAGGAAAAAAATGTTGTCTTTTTGTATTTTAACCCGTGTTACTTTACCAGTGTTAGAGGGAGGGTTATCTATGCCTGGCCGTCTATGTTTTTTTCTGTTTGTTAGTGTCTAAACCTCCTGTAGGCAGCAGCATTTAGGACTGTTTCAGAATTCCTGAATTCACGTGTCTCTCAATGGACGATAAAGAAATGTGTTTTTAAGCAGTACCTTAAAGGAGAACTATGGGGTCAGTGCTTTTCCCCACAGTTCTCCCCAGGGTCACAGGAGGACACAAACTAGCATCCTCCCGTGACCCAAAGCTCACGGTATACTGAGACGGCCGCAGCCGGGACGGATCCCGACGTTACTGTCTGGATCCACCCAGCTGCGTGATTGACAGCTGGCTCTGCCTATCTACAGGCAGAGCCAGCTGTACCCACCCCCTCCCCCTTCCGTTCTGTCAGTCAGCACTGGAGGATGGGACAGGGAAGGGGGGAATCCCTGCAGGGAGCCCTGAGTGACAGTCACGGCTCTCTGTAGGGACATGATTGAAAGTGAGCGAGTGACGGTATGTGTTCGCTCACTTCCCAATCTATTGAGCTGACGTGTGCCAGTTTCATTGTCACACGTCGGCTCGAATTATGAGATGATTTTCACTCACCTCATAGTTCTGCTTTAATCTGTTTTTGTATCTTGTAATCCTCTGTACATCAGCATTCACGCTTAGAAGGGAAGGGGTAGCACAATAGGCAAATGAGGCCTAGTTACAGTATCGACCAAACTGTATTGCTCTCACTGCCATGGAGAAAATAAAATATTCAGGACATTATATAGTGTCTGGCAAGAATGACTGGACTAGAACACTGGCTTAAATCCCAATGGTGGCCACCGCACTCTATTTGCAAAGTAAATTTGCAGGTACAGTCACTCTTAAATAGTGACATAAATATCAGGATCTGCAATGTTTTTAAAATAGTCAGTTCACTCAGGCTTGCATTGTGAGGAGCAGTAAAACACTACTAGGCTGCATATGTAATCAGCAATTATGGCTGTGTTCATGTTTATTAGAAATTTTACGTTTATATTAGTTTTTTTTAAACAATAATAGGGGAATTATTCAACACTGGAGCAGTTTCCTATAGTAACCAATGAGCTTCTCTCTTCCGTTTGTTCAGTTAAAGGAGCATTATGAGGAGAGTGAATTACACTCATACCCATAATGAGACCTGGTGTGACACTGCAGCTGTCACATGTCAGCTCTATTGATCGTGAACTGAGGGATAACATATTGTAGGGCTGCAGCTAACGATTATTTTCATAATCGATTAGTTAGCCGATTATTAACTTCGATTAATCTGATAAAATACAAAAATTAATACCGTCATTTATTTAAAATAAAATACACGAATGCAGCGTTACAGACATAAAGTTTACTTCAGAATAAAACGGTATACACATTTTTTGATATCCCACTGCACTGGAACACAGGGCATTGCAGTACCGCACGTTCCAGTGCGGGCGATCACACTGCGGATGGGAGGTGCATTTGGGATCCATTGAAATGAATGGCACTGCAATGAAAAATTTGTCAGTCCGAAACTGAAAATGAATTTCCCCACCTTTTATTTATATACATACAATTATTAAAAAAGAAGAGCTATATATAGACATTTTAATTAGTTTCATGGATTTAAAATAATGCGAATTGTAAAACTAAGCCAATACAATTAAAAAAATACAACCTTTTATTTAAAATGACACACCAAAAAAAAAAAATTCTAGTTTTAATTTTAGTTTATTAAACTTTTTTTTTTTTATTTGTTTGCATTTTGAATGTGTATTTATTTATTTAACTTTTTAATTTTAGTTTAACTTTATTTTTTTAAACTTTATTTTTTTTTTACTCTAATTTTAGGAGCGGACGGACCGGGATCTGTTAGGATCCAGAGCGCCTCTAGGTGGTGCAGGAGCTGAGACCTGCTGCTCCAGTGCTCACCTGCGGGTGTTTGCCAGCTGCCAGTACTTAGCCATCACCTGGTGCTTCCTGGGAGGATATTTAAACCCTCCCTGCAGTCAGGACGATGGCTCAGTATAGTTTCCTGTTTCCTGAAACTTGAACCCTGAGTCACCAGTTCCGGTGAACCCTGCTTTCCGTCCAGAGTCCTGTTACCAGTCCTGTACCCTGTTTGTGTCCCGAGCCCGGTTACCCATTTGCAGTCCTAGATACCTCCTGTTGCCATTATCTGCCTTTCCTCCTGTTGCCATTACCTGCTTGTAGTAGGTTGATGTTACTTATTTATGTTTGCTTTTGGGTGTTGTTTAGTTTTGCTGTTTATTAAACTGTATATAATACATTCTGCCCTGTCCGGTGTGGTCATAAGTGTTTGGTCTGCCTGTGTGGGTACCTGCACAGGTGTGGGGTCACCTGTGCCGGTATCCCTGACAGGATCGTTGGAGCGAACGGACCGGGTGAGAGGAGGAACCGGCCGGGGCAGGAGCGGTCTGTGTTCCCGCTGCCTCTGCCGACACAGGCGGGGATTGAAAGGGACACAGACCGCTGCAGCCAGCACCAGCGGGGAGTAGAACAGGAGAATGGTGGCAACTAATCCAAAATTAACTAATCAATGGAATCGTTGCCACCTAGGTGTCGATTAGTTGTTGCAGCTCTAATATACTGCTGACGGCTCAGTTCCTGATCATCTCCCTGTAGAGCGTGGGGACTATATCAGTCTGCACTTCCCACAGGGATTCCTCCCTCTCCAATCCTCCAGCGCTGATTGGAGGAACGGACAGGGGAAAGGGCAGGCACAGCTGGCTCTGCCTCTAGAGAAGCAGAGCCAGTTGTCAATCAGGTAGCGGGGTGGATCCCACCAATATTGTCGGGATCCGTCTCGACTGCAGCCTGGCTCTGTGCTGTCAGCCTAAAGTAGGCAATAGCCCACTATATGCTGACATTTGGGTCACATAAGGACACAGTAAATGTCCTCCTGTGATCCTTAAGAGAACTATGGCCGAAAAAGGTTGGGCCATAGCTTTCTTTTAAGCTTTGCAAATGAAAGATTTAAGCTGATCGGTTCTCATGCACAACTGCTCCAGTTTTCATAAATTTCCCTCTGTGTATCTTGATGAGATTATTTGCATCATGATGATCTAGTTTAAATATTTGTCTAGGAAAATAAATGAAGACTCTTTGACTCTTAGTCACATTTGCTCTGTTAACATATCCTGTGCAGTACATTAGGAAGTTTCTTCTGACTGAAAGGGTCCTGGAGATTACAGTGGAGTGACAGGGGGGTCTTCTTTCTAATGTTAGTGTTTAATCAGTCTACTGTATTTGTTCAATGCATGTAACAAGCCAAATGTAATATTAAACTCAGAACTATTATTAGCTGACATGCAGGCAAAGAAGACTACTAATTCATGTCAGTTAAGTATTTAATTCATTTTTTTTATTTCATAAAATTGTGAAAGTAACTGGAAAAACAGGGATGAACGCAATAAAAGGTAAACCTAAGGAGACTTTGAGAGTGACTAACTAAAAATGACTTGCTGGTATAAAAGATCCCACTCTTCAGTGGCTCTTATCCAGGCATATTTGTATTAGGTCTGAGACTAAAGATGGTCCAGTTCTTGATGACTTAGCCAAAATTCACTTAAGTGGGGTACACACAATGCGAATTTCAACCGGTTCCTGATGAACTGGCCAAAATTCGCACAATGGGTGCCGCTGTCAGGACCCTTCTGCCCAGCATCTCTTGATCAGTTGATCGAAGGAGCAGGTTGGAAAATTTTGGCCGAACAAAGCTGGCAGCCAACCAGCTGCTAGCACCCTTTAGGTATTGTGATGGCGGCCATGTACTCTGACAGCAGCACAACTCTCATTATCAGAATATATTAATCCAGTGAGAAATTCATCCACTCACGCTGTTAGGCATGGATGGAGGAATTTGTTTGATTTTTTTTCATTCAGAATGAATGATGGACAAACAAAATCTAATAGTGTATGGCCAGCTGAACTCTAATAACCAATAGGAAGGACAGCTTCCAGGGCTGAAAGACTCATGCCCAATTCCACAACTTGTCCTCAACTTGTCAACATCAGATTTTTACCTTTGACAGGTAAAGCTTTTTTCATATTTGTGTTTAATTTGTATATTTAGCAGCTTGTCTGGAGTTCAGCTTTAAACGTGCATGTGTCCTTTTAAAATATATTAACAGTAGTAAACTACAACCAATAGAATGCAAAGTTGGATTCTTTTTTTTTTTTCTAATTTGTGCTTCACACTTTAACAAAATTCAGCAGCTCACAGGAATTATAATGTTTGCAGGTTTCCAATGAAAAACCCCCAACTGCTGTGCAAATGGATTCAAGCAGTTCGGACCACACAGTGGAAGCCATCTGCATCCAGCAGAATCTGCAGCGACCATTTTAAGAATAAAGATTATATTCTGCAGCCAGGGATGAAGGTTCCTCGACTTCATGCAAATGCAGTGCCTTTTGTCTATAAAGAAAAAAGATGCAGAAGAAACAATGATAACACGGCGTTTGCAAGTTTGGAGCAACTAACAGAAACGCACAGACCTGCCGATCATACATATTCAGCTTTACTTAATGCAGTAGACATTCCTTGTTACAAACCTGATACAATTAAACTTAAGAAGAAAGTGAGGACTTTACAACGCCAAATACAAAGGCAAAGACATACGATAAAAAAGCTGTCTGAAAGATTGGCACAGTTAAGGAAGAATAAAGACCTGTGTTCAATTTCCTTATTAGTACCGTGTTAAAACAGAGGGTTTTATTGTCCTTTTTTATCATGTATGTCATACGGAACAGATACGGATAGTTGTGTCTAATGGTTTCCTTGGTATGCAGAATATCCATAAAGCTACTTGAATTTTAAGGGCAGTCTTTTTATCCTAACATCACTGGTTTCATGTACACTATTTGAGTTCTGTGTTCTACATGGTGAATAAAGTGCAAACTGCTTTACAGATAGTGTTCACTGAGCTTTCTGGACCAAAGGCTGAGGAGCAAAGGCTAGATGATGCTGGATGTCCTACAGCCAGGAGATGAGGCAGGCTCTTTATATCTTCTAATACACAGTTTGAGAAGTTCACAGTGTGTAGTTAACCACTTGAAGTCCGCGGTGTTAAACCCCCTTCCTGTCCAGGCCATTTTTCAGTATTCAGCGCTGCGGTACTTTGGCTGACGTTTATTCCGTCATGCAACGCTGTACTGAAATGAATTTTATACCATTTTTTGGGGACAGATAGAGCTTTCTTTTGGTGGTATGTAATAACTACTGGGGGTTTTATTTTTTACTATATTAAGGAAAAATGACTGACATTTTTTTTTTTACATTATGTTATAATACATTTTTTATTACCCAATTTCTTAGTAAAATATAAAAGATGGGGTCACGTCTGGTAAATAGACACCAAACATGTCAAGCCTTAAAATTGCGCCGCATCCGCAAAACCGCAAAAAACTACAATACACAAAATTTCCCATAGGTGACGATTTAACTTTAGCTTTTACCGCCTATCGGTTTTGTGTTATCAGTGATTGATGGCCCTAAAATTATTGCTCTCACTCCGATGTTTGCAGCGATATGTAAGATGTGTAGCGCAATTGTTGTTTTCGAGCGTTGGCGCAACCGACACATATGTAGGTTTATGTGCGTATACGTGGGGATGGGTGGACTTAAAACCTTTTTGGGGTTTTTTCTTACATTTTTTTTTATATGTGACTTTTTTTTTTTTACACGTAATGTTATTGCTATCACATAGGGGCTAACAATCCCCCTATGTGATAGCACAGGCACACTGACAGGTCCTCTTTATGGAGACATTAGGGGTCTCCAAGACCACTAATGTCACCTGGGGACACATATCAGCTTCACCAGCTTGTTCTCTGGCTATAGCAGCCAGAGAAATGACAGCTGAATGCGGAAGTGATGTAATACACCCCGCTTCCGCATTTAGAGATCAGCAAGTGGAACAATGCTGATCTCCCTCAGATCTTCATGCTGAGAGCCGCCAAGCCGGTCCCGGGCCCACAGAGGGGACAGCAGAGCCCGGGATAGAAAGTAACGGCAGTGGAGGGGGGGGGGTGCAGCAGTGGAGGAGGGGAGGGGGCGCACACTGCAGGGCAGCACATACAAGCGATCGGACGGCTATAGAGCCGCCGTTCACTTGTATATGTAACAGCCGTTACTGGGTGTTTACACCTGTCAGTATGTTCTGCTCGTGCGCGCCCAGAAAAAAAGCCGTATATTTATGGTGCCCTGCTGTAAGGAGCTTGCTGTCTGTCCGTTTCTTTACAGCAGGCGGACAGCAAGTAGGTAAACCAGAGTAAACAATTTCAGGATGGTAGAGGAGCCTGTATGCATGTGCAAGACTGGAGATAAGGCTAGAGTTCAGTTTTAAGAACAAAACAATGGTCAGGCATTGAGGGGAATTATGGGCAGATAGCAGGAACAAGCAGTTAATCTTACAGAGTGTCAGGTGACTCTTGCACCATTTCCACACTTTTTATAACTGTGAAAGTGATTAATTTCTTAAGATATACAGTATATTTCAAATAGTTAAATATTAATTTTAATACAGTTTGAAATCTGACTTGGAATGTCTTATCCATGCTTTGCCTCCAAAGTTCAAAAAAAAGCAATATCTGATTAGAAACATTGTAATAATTATGGTCTTTACTATGAATTTGCATGTTCTCCCTGTGCTTACGTGGGCTTCCTCTGGGTACTCGGGTTTCCTCCCACCTTAGATTGTGACCTTAGATTGCAAGCCTACACTTGGTCCTAATAAGTGTGGCCACATGCTGATCCTCTTCCCTGCTGGATGAGCCATAAGCTATTTCTCTCAAACCCCATGTCAGACTCCCATCCTTATCACTGGAGGCCGAAGATGTTGCAGCGGATGCAGATAGAGATTCCTGTAGAATGGTGCAACCAGTGGAAAGAGAGGTGTAAGAAGGAGAAGGATTGTGGTCCTTTGGCTGCCAACTTGTAGAATTAAAGGAGAACTAGGGTTAGGGCTTTTCCCCATAGTTCTCAGAAGGGTAATGGGAGGACACAAACTAGCGTCCCCCGGTTACCAAAAGCTCAATATACCGCGAGCTGCAGCTCGCGGTATACTGAGACGCCGCAGCTGAAACGGATCCCGACAATTATGTCTTGATCCGCCCAGCTGCGTGAGTGACAGATGGCTCTGCCTATCTAGAGGCAGAGACAGCTGTACTCGCCCCCTCCCCCGTCCGTTCCGCCAGGGGAGGGGGGAATACAGTCACTCCCCCGTCACGGCTCACCTGCGGGGATAGATCGAGAAGTGAGCGAGCGCCGGTATGTGTTCGCTCACTTCCCAATCTACTGAGCCGACCTGTGACAGTTTCATTGTCACAGGTCGGCTCAGATTATGAGGCTGAGTGAAAAGCACTCACCTCAAAATTATCCTTTAATGTGCTGTTCACACCAAGCTTTGTGGTCCAATCATGTATGCGATACCAAAATGACTGTTAGATTTACCATGCTAGATACGCTGCAGACAGAGGCTGCAAACCACTATATTGCTGTCTGCAGCACATCTATGAAAAAAGCCCAGCAGTGTGGACCAAGAGATTACAGTGGACTGCACCCATGGAGCTGTGCCCTCCAGTAGAATAGAGTAGCTACTCCATCCATTCCTCTTTAAGCTGCCCCTTGACACCCTGCCTTGCTGATTTTGTGCTTCTACCTCCCTTTCCTCCTCTGCTACCTCTGGGACCCAGGTACTGTTTGCTACCTCATCATCCCCATCCTCTCATTCATGGAGCCCACCTGGCAGTAAGCTGCAGCTGCAGGAACTTCACTGGCAATTGGTTCTTCCTGTATGTTGTCCTCTCCCTCTGTGCAACATGTGCTCTTTTCCTCAACATCTGATAAAAATAATTTGCAGCAAGTGACAGAAGCTATACCTAAATAATTCTGGAAACTCCCCCATGCCAGTTTGCGGGACTACGGATGGATTAGATATTTAAAAAGTGGGCGCATTTGCAGCTGATGACACTGCTCTACTCTGCACTTAGGAGAAGGGGGCTAATGAAGGCTTGGTTATCCAATCCACCACATCCCATGCATGTTCTGGCTGTAGAGCATGCCCGTTGCCAGAAGGGAGACATGCCAAGCCTCTCAAAGCTGTCACCTGATTATTGCTTTGGCCTGCAGATGCACTGCCTGCTTGCCCCCTACTAGCTGCACCCTCCCAGGCATGATGAGCATAGGGGATTGCCTAATTTTATTAGCTATGGCAACAGGGGGATTGAAGTGCTGCTTTTGTTGCACGTGACATTGTGGTAAACACAGAAAACTGGACCATAATAGTGTGCAGTAATGTGATGCTAACAACGGGCAACTGTGTATGTATCACCAACAAGTTCAGGCTGCTGACCCCAAAAGGAAAAAATTAAATGCCTTATCAAAAATGAAATGAACCATCCTCGAACCACTGGCAGAAACGATATATATATATATATAAAGATAGGCAGATCGTACGTTTTTTGAAGTACCTTACAACCATCGCAAGACAAAAGTCTTGCGATGGTTGTAAGGTGTGTGCCCAGCCTAAGGAGGGAAAGCCTCAAAAGGTAATTGCAAAAGAAGTTGGATGTTCCCAAAGTGCTGTATCAAAGCACATTAATAGAAAGTTTTTTTGAACTAAGGAGCCAAGCCCAACCCCTGAAAAACAACCCCACACCATAATCCCCCCTCCACCAAACTTTACACTTGGCACGCTGCAGTCAGACAAGCACCGTTCTCCTGGCAACCGCCAAACCCAGAGAAAACAATCGCCTGTGTGATAGCAATTGGAGGTAACAGGTTCTCTTTATTGACCCTGTCACCTCCAATACAGGAGTTCTAGCACAGCACTGTGCTAGAACTTCTGTCACAGCTGAGATGGGAAGAGCACAGCTCTCCCCTCTCACTGTGTACATCGGCGGCAGGGACAGGAGACAGACTCGGCGGCCGGGGGGAGGAAGGAGACCCGAAGACAGAGCCAACAGAGAGAGGGAGGTAGGTGGGGGGAGGACGGACGGCAGAGCACATTTTACAAGTGATTGCGGCGACTTCGCCACAATCACTTGTTAACAAGCGAGCGGATTCCCCACACTACATTTAGTCCTGCCTTCCCAAAGCAGGACTAAATGTAGAAGGCAACTTACCGCCTGGTGCCCGGAACTGTATGTTCTGGGCGTCGGGTGACTCCACGCCGCCCCGAGGCCTGGCCTCGGTGGCCTTGTGGGGAATCCGGGCCTGGGTATGTTTACGTTTGTGTGCACACCTTAACCCCTTCATGACCGAGGCCTTTTTTTTTTATTTTTTGTTTACATGATATAATCCACATTTTAGGCCTGAAAATTACTTAAAACCCCCAAATATTATATATTTTATGAAAGCCAAGACCCTACAGAATAAAATGGTGGCACTTGTAAATTTTTATGTTGCACAATATTAGCGCAACTCCTTATCAAACCCCAACATTTTGTGAAAAATGCACCTAAATGTCCCAATACACAATAAAATACCCATTTTTTAAATAGAATATAAAAGATGAAGTTACAATGAGTAAATAGATACCCAACATGCCCAGGTTAAAAATTGTGTGCGTCCCTGAAACTGCAACAAAATTCAGTACTCCAAAAAGTCCATAGACGACGCTTTAAAAGCCTCCACGGGTCATCAGTTTAGAGATACGTGTAAATATTGTCCCTAGAATTATTGCTCTCACTGTGGCGTGCGCGGCAGTACCCAACATGTGTAGTGTGATTGTCGTTTTCATACGTAGGCGCACCCGTCGTGTATTTACGTGAATTTACATTAAGTCCTCCCCCCTCCCCGCGGAGGTGGGGGGACTTAAAAAATGTTTTAATTATTTTTTACAGTTATTTAATTTTAATACTAATTTTAAAAACTTTTTTTTTTTTTTTACTTTACTGCTGTCACGTAGTGTGGCTTACAAGCCCCACATATGATAGCATATTGGCAATGACAGGGACTCTTTAAGGTGATACTGGGGGTCCAAAAGAGTGTCACCTTTACACTTGAAATAATTTATTGAAGTGCAGATCGCACTTCAAAAGCTTATAGCTGGGCTTCAGGAACACAGCACTGACAGCTATGGGACCGGAAGTGATGTAATCTGCATCGCTCCTGGTCTCGTATTAACGCAGTAAAGATGTCGTATCTCCCCAAACTCCTGTAATGTTTAGGGTACTTCCTGTTGATATCCCATGCCACACCCTCTGAATTCAACAACGCAAAATTTTACAATGTATCTGGGGTAAGTCTAAACCTCAAATATCGAAGCGTGTGCTATTTTTCTCAAAACTCTCGGGTGGGCTAGCAGTCACAACTATTACCTTGCAGCAAATATTGCCCCTTTGACTACTAGAGACATGTGCGTTTCGTTCCGAATGGAAATTCGGACGAAATTTTGGAAGTTCGGAGATTCGGATGCATCCGAATTACAGCTATAATGAATGCAAACGAATCCGAATTCCCGATTTCCCAAAATGTGTTAGCGGTAGTCCGGTCGAAATTTCGTTTATTGGACAAAATTGCGTTAGCAGCAAAGTGACAGAAAAAATAATTTTTTTTTTATTTTTTTTTTTACAGTCTGCAGAACATGAAAAAAAAAAAGCCTGAGGTTCACCCCCAATTCATACCAGACCCTTTAGGTCTGGTAGGAATGTTAGGAGGGACCTTCCCCCAAGTTAAAAAAAAAAGTGCTTGGGGTTCCCCCCAAAATCCCTACCAGACCCTTTAGGTCTGGTAGGAATTTTAAGGGGGAACCCCAGCCCACGTGCAGCCGTGCTTGCCGTCGAAGTTGCTGTCAACATGGGACGATGTCCCACGTCTGGTGGACTTGCCCAAAAGAGTCTAAACTCTGGCTCTGGGTGTATAACCTAATTTGCACCTTATTTGCATAAAAACCCCAAGGAAGCCCTTCTTAATAAGACCATTGCCACCCTTCTTCGTACTAAAAGGTAGTTGGTTCAACACATATTCACTGCCACTAGACCATGGGAAACTCTGACTCTTTTTTTTAGTTTTAGGCTAGGTTCACACCTAGACAACACCTCACCGCACGGCAATCGTGCATGATTCCACGCGGATTGCCACGCGGTCAGGAGTCGCCAAGGTGTAAACCGATTGCGCTGTGGGTGCCATTATTTTCTAAGTGCCGGGCGGATGGGGTGCTTCCAAACACGATCGCAGCTAAAACAGCCGCGCGTCATGTATCAGAAAAGGAAGGTACATGTACCTTTTTTCTGCGATTGCCACCCAGATGTCACCCATTGAAATCAATAGGCCAGCGCGGCATTCGCTGCCTGCATTGTACAGAACCGCGCGATCCCGGGGCGCGCGTCCCAGGTGTCGTGCGGTGTAGTGCAGGTGTGAACTTAGCCGTAGGGCAGTGAAAACTCGATTGAATAGTATTATGGATAATGAAAAACTTACAGCAATATTACCGGATGTGAAATTTCTTTTGATTTGGCAACCATGGATCTCTTGGACCCCATTCACATTGAGCGTTTTGTACCGCGATTTCCGCTCAAAAATCACTCAAACATGTAGCTCAATGTAGCTATTCCAATGCATTGCAATGGAGCTGTTCACATTTCACAGCTCAATGTCGCCTGTAGCTCGTCGCTCAAGCTTGTCGCTCGAACGTGACCTATTTTTCAGCGTATTTCGTGCGATTTGGCCCAATAGACTTCAATGGTGTAGCTCAATGTCGCACATTACAAGCGATTTTGCGCGTCATTGCGCTACAGAAATGTCACTTTGCACAGAAATATAAGCAGGAACATGAGCAGGAAACAGGAAGAGGAATTATGTCACTTCAAGACTGCTTTTGATTGGATACAGCCCAATGTAGAAGCTACGAAGTCTACGTGGCGCGACAAAATGTGCACTGTAGCTCAATGTCTCTCAAAGCCTCTAAGCTCAAATCAGCGCTGAAAAAGAGCATTTTTTGATGTAGCTCAGTGTGAATGGGGTCTTACTCCGAACCTATACATTTTCATTCTTCCTAAGTCTTTGACTTTTTACGGTTTGACCTCTCAGGACTTCTCTCCTCTCTTCTCTCAATTCTCCTATTTAGTTTCCCCCTTAGTTCAATTACCCCTTCTCCCCTCATCTCCTTTATTGTTCTTATCTTCCCAACAGTCCTTTTTCCTTTCTGTTACCTCCATATTGTCTGGTTTAGTGGATTGACTCCCTTTTCCCCTTGCCCAAACAAGATTGGGCGTGGGGGTTTAGTATGCATATCATATTTATCTGCGCAGTACATGTTTTCTAAATGATGTGTAACTCGTTTATTATCTCAAAGACTAAAGCGACTTACTTAATTTCTCCTTTGCAACCTGTTTAGCTTTTATTACTTGTGTTACTTGTCTCTCATTATTGAATGTTACCTTCTACTGCTCCTCTTGCTTGCCTTTTCTGGAAATATGTAACCTGTGCTGTATCATTTGCAATTCCTTCAATAACATTTTTGGTGAAAGAAAAATCAAATATACCTCCTAAATAAATTAATACATAAACCCCAAACCTAAAAAATAACACAGCAGCTAAACAGCAAAATAGGTTGTTGCTGACACAGATAAAAAAAGTAGCCCTAAAACGGTCTTTTGGGATGCCACTGAACAGCACGGTGAACCCCACAGGGGGGAATTTATTAACGCAATTGCGACAGTTTTTTTATGTGCAAATCTGTTTACTCTCTTCTTTTAACATGTGCGCCTGTTTTCGCCAGAGCGTGCACTATTTTTCCGATTGCGCATGTTTTGCGAAATTTTGCAACTGTTTACATCTGCGATTGTCCTTCGGCTTTCTGAAACTGGAGAATCACCTAACAAAACAATCGCTACATAAGAAGTCCCCATGACCACTTCTTCCAGAAGCGACAGTTACACTGGATTCACACCTATTCAGCACGTCTTACGTGTGCCTTTTTCTGAGCATTTTTTGCGCCTATGTTATGCCGCACAATTTTGTGAGCAGATTTTGGCAGACTCATGTCAATGAGAAAAACATGCGTAATACGTGCTCAAATAAATGCAACACGCGTTTTTCTATCGAGTCAATAGGACAAAAGCGCTGAAATCAGCCACAAAGTAGCTCATGTAGTATTTCCCGTGACAGATGTATTTCTGCCTGCAATAAAACACTGACATGTGCACTGGGGTCATAGACATGAATGGGATTCCTAGTGCTGAGCTGTTTGTTGCACTGATTTACGTGCGACCAACAGCTTCTGTGTGAAGGGGGCCTTAAGCTTTTTCCCTGGAGTTGCGAGTCTTCTTTCCTGGAGTTTATTTAATCTCATTTATGAACAACATTACACTAGCAACATAAATCTGGCTCAAATATACCCCATGCAACCATATGCGAGCGCAAACACTCTCAATTGCTATGATAAATTCCCCCCATAGTGTTTTGTGGAGTTGTACTATCCCGTACACAGCACCAACTGCACCCCCCACATTATGGTGCACACCAACCCCTCTCTATACATCACAGTGCAAGGGAAGGGCTGTATATGGTTAGCTGGGTGCTGTAAAACGTCTGACTGGTCCTAGTTACTGCACTTGCTACCATACCTCAAAGTACTCGGTCTATGCGGCTTATGGCATTATAGTATTACAGTAATACTCTGAGACCCCATTCACACTGAGCAATTTGTAGTGCGATTTCCACTCAAAAATCGCTCAATGTAGCTCGTCCAATGCAGCTCACATGCAGTTCACATCTCGCAGCTCAATGTCCCCGGTAGCTTGTAGCTCAAGCTTGCCGCTTGAACATGACCTATTTTTCCAGCGGATTTTGTGCGATTTGGCCCCAATAGACTTTGATAGACTGCCAAAAGAAGTGCTACATAGCACAACAAAATGTGCACTGTAGCTCAAATGTAGCTAGAAAAAGCGTTTTTTTAAAATGTAGCTCAGTATGGGGTCTCATATTGGGCTCAACCATATAACCGAACACTTCAAGGGCCAGCAACACCATAGAGCTCTTGTTAGCACTGGCCCCGCCCCCTCCTAACGAGCCAGTCTGTCAGCTCTGGATACACCCATTGCCTTCCGATAGGCTAATAAACGGCACAGGAGGGCGGGTCTTAGTGGTGCCATGTTGAAACGGCTGTGTGTCGGCGTTCAGCAGTCAATACTGCTAGCTGCTGTGACGGGAGTGCTGTGCAGACGAGCCATGGTAAGAATGAAGTAGAGCGGTTGTATTGGGAGTCTGTGCGGTGAATTATAACAATGTTAGCTGTGTGTACCCCCTGCCTGACCTCTGTTTTGTAGAGGTTGCGCAGTATATACCGTTATGTAAGCGGTGCTGTGTCAGCAGAGCTTCGTGTCTGGTGTACAGCGCATATAACACTCGGACACCTGGCAGCGTTCCTGTTAGTCCGGTGCACGCACTGATTTATCGGTCAGAGGGGCGGGGGGGCACCATGTCTGCCAGAGTAGGGCACCGAAGTCTCTCTGTGTTCTGTACTTCTGGGTTAATCCTGATAAATCATTATCCCCGTTCAGTCTGTGCTAATAGAATCTCCAGCCATGTGACCAGGAGTGCTACTTTCGTAACCTGCCCTGATCATGTGCTCAGCGGTGTGTGTCTGTTAGGAAGCGGGTCATTCAAGCTGCATGACCTTTGGGTCTATTGTGTATGGTTTAGGACTATTCCCAGTCTATCTCTGCCCAGTTTTTCCATGGAGTTAGCATTAATACTACGGGCACTGGCTTATTATTGTGTACCGTTTGCTATTGCATCTGAAATATCCTTTTCTTTTTTTCCTAACCTGTGTACTGCAAGGGTTAAGTGCTTGTTTTCATCTAGGTATATTTCTCTGAACCTCCCAGTCAGCTTGTTCTTAAGGTGGCCATACACCTGTGCGGATTTTGGACAGTTCTTGAGGAACCAGCTTAAATTCACACTGTGTGTGCCGCTTTTGGCACCTGTTCAGCTGACATCCCTCGATCAGCTGAGCTGGCTGAAAATTATTTTGTATGAACAGAGTTGTCAGCCAATGAGCTGCAGGCTCTGTTTGGGTATTCTGACTAGAGCTGCTGTCAGAATACAGAAGGAACAGCGGGATTCCTCGATCAACACACTCGTAGCCTTGATGGTGGAATCTGCTCTCTTAT